CAATGTCTGTCAAAAGATTTGCTTTGTAAACATCAGCACACACGTCAGCAGCGTACACCCATGGGCAAATAGTAGACGCTAAATTAACCAATCAGAGCATGCACTTTGCTTTAGTTATGTTATAAACTCACTTTGTGTACCCCTTTTGCCAGCCTTTCTTACTATCATCCACATCCCTGGAAACAGATAATTAAGCTTGCAATTAGTATTATGACCAAAAAAAAACATTTAATATGGGCGCGTTCCTTTGGAATGATACAGATCAGAATCAGTGCTCCAGGATCACTGAGATCATGTCGCACAGAAGGAACCAATAAATACTTGAGCCTCTTTTGATGCAAAATAATCCGAGTGATTTCAAATCATTGATCCTGAATGGAACCATCCCAGAGGAACTCACCCTAAGATGTCACGATCATTTCTCCAGTTTGCATGACCACTGTGTTTATAACATAAGTATGACGCAGAATTCAAACAGATGAGACCTCAAAACTGTGAGTAAATCTGAGCTACCTACACTTGGTTCTAAATCACACTTACATTTAATTACCAATTCCAAACTGATAACTTCTTGACATCATCCTACCATGCTATCCAGTGCTAACTAACACCTTAATAACAAGTTTGTGATAGGGTGAGTGAACCAACAGGTGACTAAGAGGGTGATCGAGCAAGTGATTTCCAAAGAGAAAAGAGAACCAGTGAGTGAGCAAGTTGGTGAACGAGCAAGCAAAAGAGCAAGCAATTCTAAATGTAATTAATTTTACTTTTAAATTCTAATTGATATTTGTGAATTACAAGATGTGAGGGAGTGATATTAAACATCACGTGCTAAATGCCAAGAACTTGCAGTTCCGTTAAAATAAATATGTACAGGAAGGTAACAATTACCTTCCATCTCCATCAATAGTTTCTGCATCGCTGTCATCACTGAAATATACAACATGCAATTTAAGAGAGGCATAATACATTTTTACAAACAAGTTACAGTAACTTAGTTATTGTAAATAAATTACTGAAGGGATACTACAGGTATAAGTATTATACTACATCATTACATCATTACACAGCTTGTGGTTGCAGCCAATATAACATGTGATTGGCTAATTCTAGGGCATCACTCACTCGTAATGCCCACGGGCTGATTATGGGCCTGCACAAACTGAGCAAAAAGCCACATTAATAATAAACAACTTCTTAACCTTAACAGTTCAGTCTTTAAGGGAAAATCTCAAACCTCGACATTGCAGAAGAAGACCTTGCTATTGCTTGGTCAACGCAGTGTGGTTTCAGTTGTGTGAGATCTACCTGTAAAGACCTCACACTTAGTTAATAAGCAGTTAATAATATACACAATTTCATCTCCTTTTCTTCCAGACAGAGCAATTACTCGAAGTCTACAAGTACCTTGCAATAGGCATTAGCCATTTGATGTATCAAACATAAAAGTGATATATGGCACATTTCAAGTGGTAAATATAAATATTTGATACAGAAACAACCTTTAAAAAGTTGCTGTTCACTGAAAAGATTGCGATTTTGAGGATAAAAAGTCTGAAATGCTTTAATTCAACTTTTAAATCCTCCAGATACATGTAGCACTGCAAACAGTGATGTAACAAATGGTATAAGCAAGGTTATCACAAAGTAAGATTTAGACAGCCTTATTGTTAGAGTTTGGTGGCTGATTTTGCAATCTTTTCTAAAGAATCAGGCAAATAGCAAGCAGAGTAGATGGAGG